CTGGTAGCATAGTGCCTAAGGCACTTGACTGCTAACCAGAAGGCTGGCGGTTCAAAGCCACCAGCCACTCCTCAGAAGGAAGGTTGGGCAATCTATTTCTGTAGTGATCCTGCCTCGGAAACCCAAGGAGGGGTCACTATGAGTCGGGTCCAACTCAATGGCACATAACAACAACAACAACACTAATATTATTTATTATTTGATATTAGTATTAATCAGTCTTAACATAATGTTTTGTGTCAGGCAATGGTGATTCAAGACAGATAACAAATACGAACAGTAGGAGCACAAGAGTGTGGCCCTATGTAGTGAGAGCGCCAATATTACTGTGAACAGAGGATGTCACACACAGGGACAGAAGCAACCAACCCTGTTTGGAGGATGAATCCTAAGCTGGCCTTGAATGATGAGCAAGTAGTAGTGTGAAGACTAAAGACCCAAGGATGGGGTATGAGGAGAGGAGGGGGCTAGTTGGGGCAGACAACCTCAAGGCTCCAAGCCTAGATGAAGGACCAGTTGTTCTCAGGGGCAATGTCTACTCTGTTTAGTATACCATTGTCTCTCTAGGACCCAGCACAGTGCTGGTGCACAGCAGGCTCAATACACATCTTTGGAGTGAATAAATAGGAAAATCAAGGGATAGGAGCTAGCTTGAGGAGAAAGACAAGTTCTTCTGAAGGACACGTTAAACTGAAATGAATTTGCAAGCTTCCAGGCATCAGTGCCATGAGGCAGTTTGAGAGGAGAGTCCAAAGCCTGTGCTGGTGTTCTGGAAACACAAGGCAGCAATGCTCCAGAGTGCCCACCAATGGGCCAGAAATACCTGTACTTCCTGGATGCTTTCCTCCTCTCTGGCATCCACCTTCTTCTCCACCCCCTCGCCACGGAGCAAGGCTTCCAGGGTGGTACTTTCCGAGGTGAACCCATCCTTCTTCAGAGGCAGCTCCACTTCTGAAAGCAAGGACAGAAAGGCGGAGTCAGGCCACTAGAAGTGGGAGGGGTAGGAGGGACAGTCCTTGAGGGCATGCAAGGACCAGTGCCCCTGAATAGGAGTCAGAAGCCCTGCTCTCTGGTGGGAGAGGAACTTTGGAGTTGAGTCCAGTTTTTCCATCTCCAGTTCATAAGCCCAGAGACAGATTCCAACTTGCCCACAGCCTCAGAGACAGTGAGAAAAGGGCAGAAGTGGCACCAGGTGACAAGGGAGTTAGATAGGCTGATCTCAGTCCTGCTCTGTTACTCTCCAGGTCATGGAACATTGGATAAGACACTCCAGGAGCCAGAGGCCATTGCTGCATCTATATAGTGAAGCTAACAATACCTGATCCAATGTCTTCATTTACATTAAAGTGCTTTCAAAAATGCTAAAGTGTTGTGCCAATGTTGGCTTCAATCGTTTTCATTCTCCCCCTCTATCCCAACTCTTGTCTCACAACTTCATTACTTCCTCTTAGCTGTGCTGGCTTCCCAGACTCAGTTTGCTCCATGAAAAGCTATTTCTGCCTCAGAGAAGCTATTCTAACCAAAATCAATTCACAGAGGAAACAGAGGCCTCTAAAGCCAAGGGAGAAAAAAGAGTGAGCACAAGCACCAAGCAAGCCCCAGATTGGCACAGTGGGAGCTGCAGTGTCTACACACAGCAGGGTCTTCTTCCTGAAGACATCAGACCTGGGGTGTGAGGTTGCAGCCAGCTGAGCAGGGGCAGCAGAGTCAGCTCTGCCCATGAGTGAGACACAGAGAGAAGCTGAACCCCTACCTCAAAGTCTCCCCCACAAACTCCTAACCTGAAGGAGATTGTTTGTTTGTTTTAATTAAAAACAGAAAGCTCAGACTGTTCACAGTAGTCAAAAATTAGAAACAACCCAGTTCATCAATAGATGAATGGATAAACAAAATGTGGTACAAGCATACAATGGAATATTATTCAGCCATAAAGACAAATGAAGTCCTGATGACATGCTACAATATGGATGAAACTTGAAAACATTATACTGAGTGAATAAAGTCAAACATAAAAGGGCATATATAATATCATCCCACTTACATGAAATATCTAGAAGAGGCAAATACATACAGACCAAAGTTTATTAGTGGCTACCTGGGGTGGGTGAGAGGGAAAAATGAGGGGGCATTGCTTAACTGGTACAGGATTATTTTTAAGGGTGATGAAAAATATGTAACCACAGAGGGGTGACCATTATACAACATGGTGAATGAAGTTAATGTCACTGATTTGTACATGTAAAAACGGTTGAAATGTTTTGTTGCATGTATTTCACCACAATCAACATTTAAAAATTTTTTTTAAAAAATCAGAAAGCTCAGATACTGTCGTTGTTGTGTGCTGCCCAGTTGATTCTGACTCATAGTGATCCTATAGTACAGAGTAGAACTGCCCCAAAGAGTTTTCTAGGCTGTATTTTTATGGGAAGTAACCATATCATGATTTATTATTAAATATTCTTCCAACTTCTCTGAACCTGTGCTTCATACCCCTAAGTTTTCTCTTCCCACTAGCAATGGATTGTATGATCCCTATCACTGTATCAGGTAAGATAAAGTATGAGAACAGGCTTTAGCAGTGCCCTGAAAAACAGTAGAAAACAATAGCCCACTTGTATGGGGGAACCAAGGACAGTTTAGTGGGGGACTATTTATGGAGGTGTGAGCAAGATTAAGGGAACCAACGTGGAATGATGGAACACCCCAAGGGAGTGGTGGTGGGAGGCATTACAACCCTTATTCCTGAAAAGGCAAGAGGGAAGCTGTTTCCAAGAAACATAAGAGAGAACCCAGATAGGAGCTATGGCCAACTTGTGGCCCAGCAGCAAGGGAACCAAGGGAACTCATAGCCCAAGCCCTCTCTGCTCCCATCCTCTGTCTTCCTGCTGGTAGCCTTCATTGAACAACCTCAAACAGAAGCCAGGGAGTAAGGGAGTCATTGGTAAGGGAGTCATTGATACAGCCCCACCAAGGTCAGCTTCCTGGGTCATAGAGAAGCATAAAGAAAGATAGAGAGTGGGTCTGGAGGAGCATAAGGAAAAGAAAAAGTACTGCACCTATTGGATCGGCTGGGCTTTATTTGGACTCAAATGGAACTATATCTACACCTTCAGTTTCCTCTACCAAAGACAGATCCAGGCTGGTTGGTCCACGAGAAAGAGGAACTCAGGAATCACATTAAAACTAAACAAATGCACACTCACAGGTGACCAGCCTCCAGGAAAAAGAAGGTGGGAAGGAGAAACAATATCTAAATTCCCTTGAGAGACAAGGTGTTTGAGATTCTTCTTGCCAAAAAAGGAAACATGAGAGCAAAGGATCCACCTCCATCAAGAAGTATCACCACCTCAAAAACATATCCATCTGTCTAGTCAGCAAGTATTTATTGAGCACCTACTATGTGGTTAAGAAGCTCTGGTGGCACAGTGCCTAAGGCATTTGACAGCTAACCAGAAGTTTGAAGGTTCAAACCTACCAACCGCTCTGTGGAAGGAAGATGAGACAATCTACTTCCGTGAAGATTTACCACCTTGGAAACTCAACGGAGGTTGCTATGAGTCAGAATCGACTCAATGGCAGTGAGCTTGGTTTTTGCTTCTTTTTGTTTTTTCATTTTTGTTGTTTTTGTTATGTTGTTACCACTCTGCTGGGACTAGGTCCATAGGAAATGAACCAAATAAAGCAGGTACCTGCCTTTAGACAGCTTAATATATATATATATATATATATATATATATATATATATATATATATATAATTACAAATTGCTATAAAGTACTATGGGAGAAAAAAACAGAGTAAAAAGTGAAAGAATAGTAAGAATAGTAGGGTGGGGGGCCTACTTTAGATTCAGGGAAGGCCTGTATGATAAAGTTACATTTGAGCGTCAGAAAAAGAGTCAACTGTCAGCTTTAATGAGTTCTGAGTGTGTAGCGCCACAGTCTGCTCTGATGACATATTCCGCCTTCTCAAAAGTCTGAAAAGTCTTCCAAATGTCTAATCTAAAACAATTAGAGCTTGCTGCCTCCTGTCCTGTGCTCAGTCACAAGAGAACAGCTGGTCACCATCCTTCACACTTAAAATAATCGGACATATAGTTGAAGTTCGTCTTTCAGGATCTCTCCTCACTACTAAATAAATCTTATTTCCAGAATCACGCAGCATTTTAGAGCTGAAAAGAACCTTACAGATCATCTAATTTAATCATCTCATTATAAAAATGAGTCTTGGGGCTCAGAGAAGTTAAGTAACGTCACCAAAACCTGAACAGGTAGTTAATAACAGAGCAGGACGAAAGCACAGCCAAATGATCTTTGCAAGACACTGTTATGATCATAAAGGAGCTCGGGTGGCATAGTGGGTAAGGCATTTGGCTGCTAACTACAAGGTTGGCAGTTCAAACCCACCAGCTGCTCCATGAGAGGAAGATGAGGGAATCTACTTCTGTAAAGAGTTACAGCCTTGGAAACCCACTGAGTCAGAATCAACTCGATGGCAGTGGGTTTGGTTTGGTTTGGTTTGGTATGATCATAACAGGCCCAACTCACTATGTTTTTTTAGTGGTTGGCAGGCCCATGCTGAGCCCCAAGTGTGCATTGGTATGTTTGTGTACGTGCTGAGTGCTGAGCTCATAGTAAATACTCAATGTGACAGCTCTTAGTACTATATATCTCAGTCCCCACAAGTACCCAAGAAGTGCACGCAGCTATTATCCCATTTTACAAATGAAGATACTGAAGCCTAGGGAGCTTTAGAACTTGCATAGTACTACAGAGCTGGGAAGGAGAAAAGCCAGGCCTTGAAACCAATCTGCCTCCACACCCTTTCACCTAATTTCTAGGCTGCACTGACTCCAGCCTTCCTCTCTTTGGGTCCTTCCTTTAACCATCTTCTCCCAAAATGTTATGCATTTTCATTGTATTTCTAGACTCTCTTCAGAGTCTTTATATTTCATATTTATATAAAGGCTCTTGGCTGAGGCTACAGGCAGGTGTGCGTTGTCATTCTGGGCTCTGCCTTATATGAACAACACCATGCGACATTCACTTTCTGCAACTGTATCAACTCCACCCAGAATTCTCCATTTACTGTGAACCTCCTCCTCTTCTTTCTCCCAGTCCCTCTTGCTCTCCTGCTAAATCTTCCTCCAGTCTATTACCCCATAATTCAGTTCATGCTCTTGATCCTCTTTAATGAAACCTTACCAAATGGGTAAAAGAGAAGCAAAAGGGAAAAGTGGAATGGGCTTGCTGAGAGGCAGAGAATCAAAAAGGATCTGGAATTTTATTAAGAGTCCCATCCCATTTAAAGACAAGGAAACTGAAGCACAGAAAGATATAGCAAATTTCTTAGGGTCACAGAGAAATTTAGTTGCATCATTCTTGCTAATTTCCAAAACATATTATTGGCTCCTATAGGTCCTGCTTTCAGACAGCCCTGGAATCAAAGTCTAGCTTTGCCATTTATCAGTTGGAGGACTATAAGGTAGTTACTTAACCTCTCTAAACCTCCATTTTCTTATACGTGAAATAAAAATGATTATAATATTTACTTCATAGTGTTGGTGGGAGAATTCAACAAGGTAATACATTTCACCACCACTCACTTGTCAGTGTGTTGTACTGTGGTGGCTTGCGTGTCGCTGTGATGTTTTTAGCTATGCCACCGGTATTTCAAATAACTGCAGGATCACCCATGGTGGACAGGTTTCAGAAGAGCTTTCTGTCTAAGACAGACTAGGAAGAAGGACCTAGAGATCTACTTCTTAAAAAATTGTCGAGTGAAAACTTTAAAATGGCAGTAGAACACTGTCTGATGTGGTACTAGATGAGCCCCTCAGGTTAGAAGGCTCTCAAAACACAACTGCCTCCTTGAGGTAGTTGTTGTTGTTGTTGTTATGTGCCGTCGAGTCAGACCCAACTCATGGCGACCCCTCCTTGGGTTTCCAAGGC